AGCTGGCCCGTGGGCGCCGCGGGCAGGGGGCGGGCGCGCGTTCCCGTGGGGGCGACGGGGCCCGTGGGCGCCGCGGGCAGGGGGCGGGCGCGCGTCCGCGTGGAGGTGACGGGGCGTGGGCGCCGCGGGCAGGGGGCGGGCGCGCGTCCCCGTGAGGGTGACGGCGCGTCGGTGCCGCGGGCAGGGGGCGGGAGCGCGTTCCCGTGGGGGTGACGGCGCGTCGGTGCCGCGGGCAGGGGGCGGGCCGCGTTCCCGTGCGGGCGACGGGGCGCGTGGGCGCCGCGGGCTGGGGGCGGGAGCGCGTTCCCGTGGGGGTGACGGCGTGTCGGTGCCGCGGGCTGGGGGCGGGCGCGCGTTCCCGAGCGGGTGACGGGGTGCGTGGGCGCCACGGGCAGGGGGCGGGCCGCGTTCCCGTGCGGGCGACGGCGTGAGGAGCCGCAGGGGGACCCCGCTGTGGAGCCGTACCGGGTCAGGTCAAGGTGGCGGATGACGAGCTGGCGGCCGTGGTCCGTCCGGCCGAGCTGCAGCAGCAGCGCCAGGCTCTGGTGCCGGAGGCCGGGAACCCGGGAGGCCAGCAGCGCGGGCAGCAGGCCGGCCGTGTCGGGGCGCTGCAGCAGCAGGCGCTGGTTCTCCTCTGCAAGACAGGGCACGGGCGCCTCAGGCACACGACGGCGGCCAGACCGGCCGTCTGCCACCGTCCCCCCGGGCAAACCAGCCCTTCTGCCCTCCTTGTAGAAGCAGGGTAATGAGGTGTGAGGGCTCGAGCCCTGGGGCGCAGCCCCGGGTCCCAGCCGAGCATCCACTCCTGCGCCCCTCAGTTTCCTCATCAGAGAAACGGGGAGGGCTGCCAACATTGCCGAGGTGTTAAGGAGGGTCAGTGAGTGAGCACCTGACGGTGCTCGCAACGGGGGCTGCACATGTTCGGTCCAAGGCTCCTTGGTGTGCGGATTCAGGACGCGAGGAGGGGGACGGGGTTCGGCTTACCTGTGGCTGTCTTTAGACATTTCATATGGTGGCCAGAGCAACCACCGGGCTCTTCCTAGAAAGCTGGGGTATCACGTGAGGACATTATTAATAGAGGCGTTAAGTGACTCTATTCCAGGGTGCTGGCACGGATCTGCCCCCTTTCACCCGGGTCGTTTTCTAGCCACGTGTGTGAATTTGAGAGGAAGCAGAGGGGCAGGCCGGAGCGGAGAGAGCAGAGTTTGTGCAGTTTATGTATTTTTTCTCATACTGGAAAAGTAGCTCATTGCAAACAATCCACAAGCTGGAAATGCAGGTCCCCGCCTCTTGGGACCCCTCCGAGTGAGCCCACTCCTGAAAGGAGCTATCCTCACCCTTCCTGTGAAGAACGTTCAAGACGTGACCCATCCTATCCTGGAACTGGCTTCTTCTCCCACCCGACAGTCTATCACGGACATCCTTCTGTGTCCTTCACTTTGTAAGCACCCCCTCGTCCTTCCTAAAGACCTCTTTGTCGTTACTGAGTTGGGTACACCGAGATTTCACGGATCTGACAGGGCGTTTATATCACAGGCTGTGTCTGACATTTTTTCTGATGTTAAAGAAAAAAGTGACCCCCAGGGGTCACAGAAACCCAGGGAGGTGTGGCCTGAGGAAATCAGGGCCGCAGGGAGGGAGGGCGACGTCTGGTTCACCCTGAGTAGATGCTCGGCCAGCAAGCCCTGCCTCCCCACCCTCCCGTGGGGGGATGTGCAAGATCGCCTCTGCCCCCCACCCCAGGGCCAGCGCAGGATCCTACAGAGCAGCAGGGCATCTTGATAATGGTATCAGTCTGAGCATAATTCCTTTCAGGAAAGAGTCCCCTGATTCTCTAGTCTTCTGCAACTTCTGATGACCCCCTCACTCTACTAAATCAAGGGAAAAAATCCCACTATCCCATATTCAGCCTGTTATGGTCTGCAAATCGCACCCACGAGCTCTATCACTGGCTTCCCGCAGGAGCCCTGGGAAGAGGAGACCCAGGCAGCACTATTCCTATTTCCAGAGTTTTCTGTCTAAGGTCGGACCTTTCCCTATAGAACCATCACTTTTTTTAACATGAGGGAGATACTTAAATTTTTTTACATTCACTACATTGCAAAGGGGTAAGAGAGACTGTGCAAAAACCTCGTGAACCCCAGAGGATGCTGCAGTGTAAAAAGGTAAATGAATGTTTACATGGTAGCCCTGCAGCATTATACTGTCTCATGATCGCGCGAATCAGTGTCACACACAAGATGCTAGCAGGGACAAGCGTAAATCTCGGCATGCTGAAATGGGTACCGTGGTCAGCAAAAAGGAACAATAGTTATAGGTGGACAGGGAAGGGACATCTCTGTCCCCTGCACCACCAGTGCGGGAGCTGAGGTCACGAGTCTGCAAAGGGCTGAGGTGGTAAGGCCCGTCACTATGCTGACGGGGACTCTGTCCCCTGTCAAGGCAGCTGTAAGGGAGGCAGACATAACTCTAACGCAGGCCCCGCCTCGGATCGCTATGCTCTCTCTGGGGGAAGGTCTGGACGTCAGCTCCCTCGGCCCGGCCCACGGGGGGAACGATCGTGCCTGGGTGCGGCGCACCAGTGACAATTAGCGGGGCGCCCTGGCTTACCGTTCCCAGCGCACACTGCCTGCCAGAGTCTAAGGACAGACACACACACCGTCTCTTCCACTGTGTCTTTCCCTGCCGTGGAGAAGCACCTAGAACGAACAAAGGACAGCAATATTAAAACTAGAAAGCAGTCTTGGTCTTCTTCGTAGTTGGTTTCATTTCACCTCTGGACTCCTCAAATGCGGGTCTAAGAAAGTAATGTCACAGCCCAGAGCGGCACGTCACCGGGACCAGTGGGCAGAGCGCTCCAGGACAGTCACGCAGGCCTAAGAGTCAGGCTACACGGAGGGAGGCTGGTGAGCCGCAGCCACGCGCGATGGCCACACGCTGAGTGATGAGCTGTGGCGGCCCAGCCGGCCATGGAGTGTTCATGGGCCTCCTAACGCGTGCAAACGTGTGCCCGTGACTCCGGCCCACATCAGTGCCCTCCTAAGCCTGGGGAACTGCACCCAAACCACTGAAAATGGGCAATAAAAATAAAAGAGCAATCTTGCAAACATTGGTGGGAACCCAGATACAGGGTCACTTCTCGGGCCTGCAGGGCCTGGAAGGACCTGGAAGTTCCGTGGCCGCCTTCTCTCTCTGCGCTTGGTGCTTGTGGCGTAACTCAAACTACCTGAGGCGCAAAGCCCAAGGGGTGCCCATGGGGCAGCAGTGCTCTCTCCCGGGTCCCCGACTCTGACTGAAGGATCGGACCACCCAGGGAAGTCACTGCCTGTGCGAGCAGGGGTTTGAGAGAAAGTGGTTGTCCTTCCTCGCTCTACCGCTGGCTGGCTTTACAAACACCCTTACCTTCTGATGACCTCACTCTCGCTGATGATACTGAATCCGTTGTGTGTTCGGAATAAAGTCTGTTCTGGGCCTGGAACAAATTCAGAAGAAACTGTCAGACTCCTGAACTGTCTGGCTGAGGTCCAGCTAACGGTGAGACACTCAACACAGAATGTCAAACTCACCAAATTAACGGTTTGGGCAGAAACAAACACCTTTACTTTCCGAAACCTACGGCTGTCATCAGCCACTTGTCACCCCAGCGGAAGGGACATCCCATTCAGAGAAGGGGAGCTGAGCCTGCGTGGCCTGGTGGGTTATCTGACAACTCATCATTCTGTAATCTTTAGAGTCCCCAGGAACTGCTCACCCTCTGGGATGAACTAGCACATTCACCTGCCCTTGAGTACTGACTTTGAAGCCATTTCTAGGCTCTGAACCTAAGACCTCCAGGAAACTACACAGGGCATTTGAGTGTCCTCCATCATATGCTAAAGGGAGGTTAGAGACCCCACCTCGTGGTACAAACAGCATCCCATCGCTGAGTGAAAAAGTAGTGTAAGTCTGGTATCAGGGTTTACGAGAACTGGGAAAGGAGACCACACGGCTCTCGTGAGCGGGAGGGCTCAGGTTTGCTCTGAAGCTGTTTGCATGTCCTACGCAGCCATTAAATGTAATGGGGTGAACCTTACAGTGCATCCTGCAGAATCCCGACTTCCGCTCCCGGACAGCAGGGGAGGTTTGTGAGGGTGGGTACTGTGTGTGTGCTGAACGCCATGTGTGCTCTGGGGGAGGCGGGGCTGGGGCGGGGGCACGTTTCCCGCACACCCTGTTTAGCATGTTTCCTGCACATGGCAGGTGTGGAGTGTGTGCGGAAGGAAGGGACACGGGGATTCTCGGCTGCATCAGGGCTGGCCTCTCAACCGGCCCTTTGCACCCACTGTATCCACGAGGCCGTGCGCATCTTGGGCTTACAGTCCTTTATCACTTCGGTCAGGATTTCGATCCCTCCTGCGTAGAACAGGAGTGTCTGGCGGGGCTTGCAGAGGGTCTCCAGGACATTCTTGACCGTCACAGCCGTGTTCTTTCCCGAACCCAGCAATTTGTGCGCTTCCTTCTCTTGAAGATCTGCTTTCTCCTGGAGATTTACTTGATTGAGGTATTCTAGCAAAACGAGAAGAAAAAGAAAGGAGACCAAACAAAAACTCTAACAATCAACATCACCACAGAAAGAGCAGCTTTTTTGAGGATGGGAGGTTGAGAGCATGAAGCAGTAAAGTCATTCTGCCCTGGCTTCAGGAGGGAAACTTTCAGGAAGGGTGGACAGTCTATACCCAGAATCTTAAACCATCTTGGGGATTCAGGGACAACATTATGCCCTGTCTAGAAGTTTCTAAGGGGCAATGGTTGTAGAAAGGAGGAAGGCAAAGGTCTCAGTGGGAGAACAAAGAGGAGCAGGCACCCTCATAGGAAGGGTTCGATGTGGCTTTGAGGCCAAGTGCGGGGAAGGGGCGCAAGGCACCTTAGGGCCAGAGCACAAAGCGAAAGTGGAACTCAAACGAAGGGCACCAGCAGGAACATCCTCACCTTTCACCTGGGTCTGCAGCTGGGGGTTTATTTCTAACATCTTCTGATAACACTCTCTAGACTGGAAAGAAAGAAACAAGACCTTGACGAGTGGTCCGGGGGTAAAGGTGATTATTAAGAAAGACACCGGGTACCACAGGGCTAAGCTTCATGATCTCCTCCCAGCCTCCTCTTGCTCCCAGTGTAGGAGGCAGGCCTGGGGAGCACAGCGTGCATCTGACATTTTGTTTAGGTTTCGCTGGTTCTGCGGGGTGAGAGGTATTATTTCAGGGTTTATTAAAAAAAAAAAAAAAATAGTGTTGTCAGATACAGCCTGTGATGGAAAAATACCTAGCCCAAAATTCTCACAGATTGTGTCTGGTTGGGACAGGAGTAGTCATAATGTAACTGCAAATTTTAGATATGATATTTGCACTGAGAGAGAACAGGAGACTACTTGTCAGGTAAGCCCATAAGGAGGAGGGATATAAATGGAGCAGAGTGATGCTGCAGAGTGATCCCTTAAAGCATGAGTCACATCATTTCACTCTTTCCCTCAAAAGCCTCCGATGGCTCCCAGCTCACTCAAAGTAAAAGCCAAAGCCCTTCTAAGAGCCTGGACAGCCGTAGGGAATTAGTCCCCTCCCATGCCCCCATCACCTGCCTGACCTCATCTCCTATCACTCTTCTCCAGCTATCCCTCTAACTGGACCACTCCGCCATTATATATCCACATGGCTTACTCACTTCACTCCCTTCCTTCCTTCAGAAAGGCCTTCCCTGACCACTCCATATGAACCCAATCTCACCTTTGCTGCTTCCTGATTTCATTTGCTTAATAACACATCACTGTCCAACAGACTACACATCTACTTATTTGGTTCCTGTCTTCCGGCCTCACCTATCCCAAGAACGTAAGTTCCATTTAGTCAAGGAGTTTGTCTTGTTTGCCACTACATTCCTATTGTCTAGGACAGTACCAGAAACATAGAAAGCATGTATACATGTTTGCTAAGTGAATTAATTAACTCAATGAATGAATGAGTGAACAGAACTTGGTGAACAGAACATTTTCTGTTTCCACTTTTCTATTATTTGACCTTACTAGAATAAGCCTGTATTACTTTTAGAAGTAAAATCCAACCAAACAAAGAATTTTTAAAATGTACAATAGAAGTCCATTTCTTAAAAAAAAAAAAAAAAAAAAAAAAAAAAATTTTCTAAGTGGAGCGACATTTCACGTTCATGGATTGGAAAATTTAATATTTTTAAGATGGCAATATTCCCCAAATTGATCTACAGATTCAATGTAATCTCCATCAAAATTCCATCTGGCTTCTTTGCAGAAATTGAAAAGCTGATCCTAAAACGTGTATGGTAACTCAAGGGACCTAGAGTAACTGTAACAATCTTGAAAAGGCAGAGCAAAGGTAGAAGACTCACACTTCCCAATTTCAAAGTTTACTAAAGTTATAGGAATTAGGACAGTATGGTATAGGGATAAGAAGAGACATATAGATCAATGAAATAAAATGGAGAGTTCAGAAATAAAACCATACATGCATTTGTGATCAACTGATTTTTGACAAGGGTGCCAAAATCATTCCGTGAGAGACAGAATAGTCATTTTAACAAACGGTGCTGGGATAACTGGATATCCACATGCAAAAGAATGAAATTAGATCCCTTCCTCACACCATATATAAAAGTTAACTCAAAGTGGATCCAAGCTAAAGCCATAAAACAAGGAAAACACAGAAGTAGATCTTGGATTAGGCAATGGTTTCTTCTATATGACACCAAAAGTATAAGCAATCAAAGGAAAAAATAAATAATTTAGACTTCATCAAAATTAAAATTTTTTTGTGCTACAAAGGACACAAGCAAGAAAGCAAAAGGACAACACAGAGAGTAAAAGAAAATATCTGAAAAATCATTTATCTGATAAGGAACTTGTATCCAGAATATATAAAGTACTGTTTACTTAATATAAAAGTACAAATAACCTAATTAAAAAATTGGCAAAGGATCTGGAGATTATTCTCCAAAGAAGATATACAAATGGCCAATAAGCACATGAGAAGAGACTTAATGTCATTAGCCATCAAGGAAATGCAGATCAAAACAACCACGGGTTACTCTCTACACCCACTGGGATGGCTATAATCAAAAAGAAATAATAAGTATTGCCCAGGATGTGTAGCAACAGAAGCCACAGCCTGCTGGTGGGCATGTAAAATGGTGTAGCCACTTTGGAAAACACTTGGCAGTTCCTCCAAAGGTTAGACATAGAGTTATGTAACAGAGCATTTCCACTCTTGGATAGAATATACTTGAGAGGACCATACACATGCCCACACAAAAACTTGAACATGAATGTTCATATAGTCCTCAGTGGAAATAACCCAAATGTTCATCAACCGATGAATGGATAAATAAAATGTAGCCTATCGATACAATGGAATGTTATTCGGCACTAAGAGGAATGAAGTCCTGATAGATGCTACAACATAAATGAACCTTGAAAACCTTATGCTACGTGAAAGAGGCCAGTCACAAAAGACTATCTCCTGTATAATTCTATTTATATGAAGAGTCTAGGCAAGTATAGAGACAGAAGTAGATTAATGGCTGCCGCAGGGTGAGGTTGGGGTCGGGGGAAGGAGAGTGCTAATAATGGCTATAGAGCTTTTGGGGAGGTGACAAAAATGTTCTAAAGCTGAGTGTGGTGATGGCTGTACATCTCTGTGAACATGTGACAACCCACTGAACTGTATACCTTCCACAGATGAACTGTCTCGTATGTGAATTATCGCTCAATAAAGCCACCATTCACAACATATAGTATCTTAGTCTGCCTATATATCTGCATGGTTACTTTTGAGTGGAGAGATTGCAAGTGAATTTTGTTTTCATCTGTTCTTCTCTCCAGAGACGCTTCTCTTGGCGCTGACGGAACACTGGTAAGAGGTATTGCAGAAGGGATTCCCACAGCAGGTGGGGATGCCACTCAACGTCCTTCCCAACTCAACACATCGTAAGATGTACCTTGGAAAATACTGTAAGGGGTGGATTAATATCTAGTCAGCTTGGAGGAACGTGGTCCTTCTCTGAGACAATCTGCAGCCTTGCTCTGGGATCCAACCAGCCCCTTCCATTCCTCTAAGAACTTACCGCACTGTAGTTCTTCAGGGCCAGGTGGGCCTTTCCCATGTGGAAATATGCTTTTGTGCATTTTTCATCACACTGCATAAAAGTGAATGAGTGATCAGATGTTTCAGAAGGTTTGAAGTCATTAGCCACCCCCCTCACCGCCTAGCTAATCGAGTTAAGGCAGAACTTTGGTTCTCAGCACGGCTACCAGGGTTGACAATTAAAACTTTTCTGTGCGTCTGCGACCAAACTAATTGGTGCCTGCAAGGAGCCTGCGTGCACATGTAAGCTCTCCATCAGATTAATTAATGACACTTGCCAGTTTTCATTTCCATGTAATGAGACTCAATCAGGAGACAAACCAGAAACCCTCAGTTGAGGAGAGCTCTCGACCTTGCCTCAACATGAAATCACCTGGGATGCTAATCAAAACCTGGAAGGCCAGGCTGAACCCCAGAGCAGTTAAATTACACTCCAGGGTAGGGCCCAGGCTCTCCGGGTGCTGTAAACAGGCGGCCAAGCTTAAGGACCGCTGGTTTATCAGAAGAGAGAGCTGGGTCAACAGCTGAGGTTACATCTTCGCGGGTCTGGCGATAAAGCACACCCTACATCCTGGGAGCTTCTTATCACCGAAGATCAGGAGGGACGCCCCCTTCAAAAGGCAGGATGGGGATCGAAACTTACGGGAGACCGCGGCATTTGCGCAGGGGGCCCCTCACCTGCCCGCCCCTAATGATTACAACTCCAGAGGGACTGATCGGGCGCAAAGGCGTCAACTATAACTTCCAGCATTCAGCTAACCGAACCCTTTTCTGGGTGAGGCACTGTGTCAGGGATGCCCTCCGAGGGTCTAGACTTAAAGAGGCTGAGAGTGCAAGCTTAGGCACCTGCAAAGTCCTGGGGGAATCCTGGCCTGCCTCTCAGCAGAGGTGGGGTGTTGGCCAGGCCACCTAACTCTTATGACGCTCATTCTCCTCACGTGGAAAGTGAAGACAGTGACAGGGTCTCGCTCGCAGGTTGTCGCGAGGAGGAAATGCACGCGGACGCTCAGCGTGGCGCCGGCATCAGCGGCAGTGGCTACAACAACCGTTACAACAGCAGCTGCTGCCCGTTTCAGGGCAGGAGGGAGGCTCTGAAGCAAAGCCGAATAGTCCTGAAGAGGCAACACTGTCCTATTTGGAGAGGCCATTAGAGATGCATTTTCACACTCATCATTTCCTGACGCGCTGAGCGAACGGCAGTAGTAAGTGATAGTGCATTAGAGTTCAGTCCTTACTGTGCGGCTCACACGAATTATCTCATATAATCCTTGAAACCACTCTATGAAGTCAATATAGTTATTATCGGCATTTTATAGATGAGGAAGCTAGGGGCTAGAGAGGTTCACGGTCGCATAGATACCAAGTGGCAGAGCTGGGATTTAAAATCTGGTCATCTGACTCCACCCCAAAGGCTTCAAACGACACCAAATCACCTTGAGAAAAGTGCCACAGCAGGTGAGGGGAGGGAGACCCACTCCAGAGAGGCCGGGTCTCACACGGAGTGTGCGAAGGAGGGATCCGAGCTGAGTCTCAAAGGCTGTGCAGAGGTGAAGAGAGGAGGGAGGGAGGGAGGGAGGGAGAAGGGGCCGAGCGAGGTCTGGGGGTGGGAGGGGGCGGGGGGCTTCCATCCAGGACAAGGGGCCGGAGCGGGGCAGGGAGGGGCTGGAAGGGGTGAGTGAGCAGCGGCGGCCCGCAGGGAAGTCTGAGGGTGCCGCACAGCGCTGACCGGGGCGGAAAGGCAGCGGCCAGTGAGGAAACCAACACAGTGACGCAGAATGAGGGGCTGCATCTGTCTTGGTGGCGGAGGGGAGAGGACAGACGCCAGAGCTATGTCACAGATGACCGCGAGGAGGAGGATGTCCAGTCACGAGTCTGGGGTTCAGGTGCCTGGAAGACAGCACACGTCATGGACAGAGGTGGAAGTCAGGGCTGGTAGAGGGAAGGCTGCGGGGAAGACGACGAGTCTGTTCCTAGACGCCTCATCTTTCTGGCGGTGCCAAGACCATGAGGGAGACCTGAGGCCTGCGAGGTGGAGACGGGAAGGAGGCCTGAGGGCCGGCTGGACCCAGGAGAGGAGACAAGAGCCTTGAAGGGGAAGCTGCAGAGAGAAGGCAGGGAGCCAGGGAGTGAAGCCTGGAGAATCAGGCTTCTCCAGGATGAGGATGAGGTCAAGAGGGCAGGAAAGGGATGGTCAAGGGGAAAGTGGCAGCATAGCAGCCCACGAAAGCCGAATGTTCCCTGGCCCTTCACTGGCAGGGTCATAGAAGGGGGCAGAACACACTGGGAGCCTCAGAGCCCTGTCCGTGCGTCACAGAGAAGCGGCTTGGTCGTGACTCCTCTGGCCTGGCTGTGAGGGAAGTCCTCACTGACAGCCCCTCCCTCTCTGATCATGTGTCATCACTCACCAGGATTTCTCAGGTGAGCCCCAGATCCCATTAAAAGGAGTCCTGTTTTGGGGCACCTGCGTGGCTCAGTCGGTTAAGCATCTGACTTCGGTTCAGGTCATTATCTCGTGGTTACTGGGTTTGAGCCCCGCATAGAGCTCTGTGCTGACAGCTTAGAGCCTGGAGCCTGTTTCAGATTCTGTGTCTCCCTCTCTCTGCTCCTCACCCACTCATGTTCTCTCTCTTTCAAAAAATAAAATAAACATTAAAAAAGATAAAAAGAAAAAGAGAGTCCAGTTTTCAGAGGACGAAGGATTTTATCATGCAGAAAGTGTTCCACCAAGAAAGAAATGACTCTGCTCCTAACTAGAACCAGCTTCGCTGCCTTATCTTCCCTGACGAGGAACAGGAGTCTTGAAATATCATCACAAGAGCTTGTCTCTGCCAATTCAAAAGTGTTAAAAATCTTAAACGGGCATGAAAGTTACTAACACTGTTAATAATGGGACGGCACGGACATGCATTATTGATTTACTACCTTTAAAGAGTGAAACATTTAAATCACAGCTTTGCCACAGAGCCGGCTGGCACTGTTCGTCTTCAGCGCTCCGCACACACCTCCCCCAGTCCTCCAAGTGTCTACACAGCCTTTTCACCTGGAAGCCTCGCTGGGCAATTCACACGATTGGCTGGATGTCAGAGGTTTTTAAGGTCCGCTTTGCTGGGCCCACTCTGTCTTGGTTTTGCCATTAATTACACTGTGCTTCATTTAACACTTGGGAAAGGGCCAGCGTGCTACCCTGAATCAGCACGATGATGGTGTGACTACCTCTTTGGTCCTTTTCAGATCAGAACACATTCTCCTGGGAGCCCCACTGGGAGATCGTTTCTCCCACAGAAGGGAGCAAGATCCACACCCAAGGGACTGTGGGGTTTCAGGTCCAGTAGAGAAGCTGTACGGAGTAGGGGTTCAGACACCAGCATACAGTAAGACCAACACCAGCTACGCGATTCTGCTCAGGTCACTTTATTCATGTCCAAGGCTTGATCTCCTTGACAGAAAAATAAGGATGACGGCAGTATTGAACAGAAGAGACGGTTGTGAGGTTCATGGCCAGCACACAGCAGACGGGGGCTTTTGCACTTGATCTTAGCCTGAGAAGCAATAAGTGGGGGCTTTCGCTGTTACTAGCATAACCGAGGAAAACATCCTTGCCTCTCTCTTCTCGTATGGAGTGGGGGCAGAAAAGAAATCATGGGCACATAAAGTGACAAGACAGGCTGGGGACCTAGGCTGGACCTAAGCTGTGACGTGCCGAGGTCATGAGCTCTGGGCAGCGCTTGTAACTTCAAGGCCGTCCCAGTGCAGCGGGACAGGGTTTGCCATTGCGCCCGATCTTCTAAGGGAAGATCGCACCCCCGTCAGTTCTGGAGGATCCCGCGTGCTCTAGAAACCGTTATTCATCAAGGTGAGTTTCTAATTCACCCCAGTTCCCCTTGCTTACCTTGTCAATAAGAAATAAGGAAGGAGGTGTGGCCAACATACTGCCGTCAAAACACCCTCTTGTTTTGGGCTGCGCTCACTACCCCGGGGTGGGTGGGGGTGCTGAACCCGAGGGATCGGGGCCAGAACATAAACCTGGTGCCTCCTCCTGGCCCTTCAGTCTTACCTGATTATAAGTTATTGAAGATACTATGGTGATATTAAGACAAAGAGATACATTTCATGGAGTTTCACGGTGAAGCATGTATGTAACAAGAAAGGTCCTGCTCGCCCCTCTAGACCCTGCAGGGCCTCACTCTCCTCTGGTAGCAGCCCTGCTGCGAGGAGAGAAACAGTGCTTCCGGCCCTTCAGTTAAAGCCCCGACGACAGAGCGACTCGGTGGAGGGGAATGAAGCTAGTCATCTGAAATAACGTCCCTGAGAAGTGATCATGATATTTCTCTTTTAAAAACTCTTGTACTATTTCCACCGCCAGTCCTCACCTCTCCTCACCTTAAATGGGCCATTTTGGCAGATTTGGGAGGAAGGACTCTGCCTGGCCTCATGTGAGCTGCCTGAGCCCTGACTAGTCTCCAGGCTGAAGAGCAGGAATTCTGTCTGCCTCTCATTCCTCCGCAAAGACACCAAATTATTGGAGCTAGAGGAAAAGCACCAACTGATAAGGAAGGACAACACACAAGTTGCACTGCACACACAAGTTCCTGTGGTTGGTCCTAGAAAGAGGAGGCTTTACCACTGCCCCATGGAGTGGAGCTCGTGATGGCACGGAGGTAAAGGATGAGCCCTTGCAATGTAAACCTTGAAACACCAGCATCCACAGCACCTCTTGGGCGCACTTACTATGAGCTGGGTGCTCCATGTGCCTCACCATGACCCTTACAACAATTCCGTTCATCCCATTTTATAGATGAGGAAACTGAGGCTCTGACAGTAGAGCTCATGGCCCACCATGAAACCCCGGCCGCTCCCCTCCATTCCCTTCAGGACCGAGATGCCGGGGCCGGCAGGCCAAATCTGTCATGTGGAAAATGATCCATCTTCTTACCTTCAGAGCCCACTCGCAATCCACCACGGCCTTCTGGAAGTCCCCGAGTTTCATATAAGCCTGTAATGACACAGACGGCTGCCGGTGATACATCATGCTGGAGCGCGCGGTCTTCAGCTGACACAGAGAGCAGTCCAGCAGCAGAAGGGTGATGGCAGGGAACCAGTCCCTCCCCTGGTCAGCCGGGGCCCCGGCAGAAAACGGAGGGCACACGCACACCAGGGGACTTCACAGAGGGACACTCACAAGGTGCGGGCAGGGCTCGGAATGGCACCGAACCGCACGTCTAGCAGCAGAGCACAGCCGTTACCGCTGCCAGGGAGGGGGAGGAGGACAGCCACGGACAGGCGGGAGAGCACGGGAGTGCGGACGGCACTGCCTCGCGGGAGCATCAATACCCCGCTCTCCTTTCCTCCTTCCTCCTGGTCTCGCTGGTCGAACCCATGCCAGCTAGAACGCTGGGCAGTCAGGGGGCCAGTCCACTGAGGCCGGCCCCCCCGGGGCATAGAAAGCAGGGAGGAGGAGGGTCCAGCAAGGCAAGAGAAAATACACAGTACACTAAACACACCTATGGGAAGAGCTGGCTTCTAGAGTCTACCCGACTGTGGATGTTCCAGAAGGAAACCAAATGGTAGAGGAACCAAAAAGGTGATAATAAGTGTTGGCGAGAATGTAGAGAAATCAGAACCCTCATACACAGCTGGTGGAGACGTGAAGTGGGGCAGCCACTTTGGTAGACAGTCTGGCAGTTCTTCAAACGGTTGAGCCCAGAGTTACCATATGACCCGGCCACTCCTGGGTGTACGCATGCCCAAGGGGACCGTCAACATATGCACACAACCACCTGTGCATAAGTGTTCACAACAGAAAAGCAGAAACAACTCAAATGTCCATCCGCTGATGATGGATAACTAAAGCGTGGCCCAGCCATCCAGTGGGGTATTATTTGGCAATAGAAAGGAATGAAGCACCGACACATAACACAACATGGATGAGCCTTGAACACACGTTACATGAAAGAAGCCGGACACAAAAGGAAAAAATATGCATGACTCCATTTATATGAAATGTCCAGAGTAGGCAGACGTATGGAGACAGGAAGCTGATTCATGTGTAGGGGTGCACACGAGTGCTGGGGTGGGGGGCAGGGGTGCACAGGAGTGCTGGGGGTGCACGAGAGCTCTGGGGGTGCAGGGGAGCACTGAGGGGTAGGGGTGCGCTGGAGCATGGGGCTGGAGGGACTACTTAAAGTGTATGGGGTTTCTTTTTGAGATCATGAAAATGCTCTAAGACTGCTTACGGTGAAGGCCACATAACTGCCAATACACTAAAAACCACTGATCTGTATACTTTCAATGGGTGACTTGCATGTTATGTCAATTATATCTCAACAAAGCTGTTACTAAAGAAAATATGAAGAAAAAGTTCTGCTTCTTTCCTCATAAGTGCAGCAAGAAGGACGGGATCTAGGAAATGAGCTGACATTTAGCAGTCAGACCAACACTATGATCCATCAGTGCCAAATGCCCTGGGGGCCTCTTCTGGGACCTCCCCCCCCCCCCCGAATTCTTGATTTTGAAAATCAAGATTTGAGTCAGAATCCAGGGATCTACTCCATCGAAACTGAATTCAGTTCACTTATAGTTTCAAACAACTAGTGGCCTATAAACTAACAAAGGGCTGCCCGACAGGGAGTGCGATGGCCACCACACCCCCGAATTCATTACTGGACACGACAGGTGCTCAAGAGATCCTGATCAAGCTGAACTAAACAGACTTGAAGCACTCTGCTCTTGGAAGCAGCAATGATCACTCTGGTGTCAAAAAGGAAAGCCAGGCACTTGGAGAACAACTCAGTCACCCAAACTAGATCCCACAGACATGTAGGTCTGCCCCCTGATCAAAACTGTACCGGGGGCGCCTGGGTGGCTCAGTCGATTAAACGTCCGACTTCAGCTCAGGGCATGATCTCACGGTTCGTGGGTTCGAGCCCCACATCGGGCTCTGTGCTGACAGCTCAGAGCCTGGAGGCTGCTTCAGATTCTGTGTCTCCCTCTCTCTCTGACCCTCCCCTGCTCATGTGTCTCTATCTCTCTCTCAAAAGTAAATAAAATATTAAAAAAAAAAAAAAAAAAAAAACACCTGTACCGGGCCCCGTGACATTCTCATTGATGACTCTCAGCAGATATTTACATGGTCAAGACAATCCTGGAGCCAGTGGTATAAGTCACGGGGGATCTAAGCACTCACCCCACGGGAGGGGGGAGCAGGCAAGAGCCAGCTAATGAAGTTGAGCAGTGCAGTGATTTGCTCGGCTAGAAACGAAGCCGCTGAACGGCGCTTTCATTAGCTCAGGCTCTGTACTAATTGAAGATGACGACTCTTTGAACTGTCTGTTCCACAGAGCACCATGCTTTCCCCCAGGGTTTGGGGCTTCATTTGAAAGTCAGATGATGTGAGGAGGACACTAGTGTCCTTTTAAGACAAAGGTGGCCACAATTCTGTCACATTGTTATTCAGGAGATATACTGACTCTGAAAATGCACACATGGGCTTCAGCAATTTCTCTCCACAGCCTTTTGCTTTTCCTTTCTTTTTCTTTTCTTTTTTTTTTTAAGGCCTGGATTCAACACCCTATAAATTCGCTGTTCTCTTTTGCTTTTCCACATCTTAAAAAGAACTACTTTCCCAAATGGCAATTAAACTCCTGATTGATCTAAATTATGCCAGCAACTATTGATCATAACATTAGCTCCAGGAGAAACACAGAGCGATGAAAGGCTGCATTTTCTCTCTAGCAAGCAGCCAGACTCAATTCGCAGGGTCCTTATTAAGTGTTTTGGAACACTGAATGCAAACAGGGGAGGCGTTTTAAAAATAGCCAGTGTGATTTGGTGATTCTTAACACCAGGCAGCATACTCTGAATAACCTTTCTCTTGGGGGAAAGCTGGGAGGGATTACTTCCCCAAAGCTTTTCATTACATTTGCTTATTTTTATCCACACTCATTCTTAATGTGATTCTCCAGAACTAATCAACGTGCTGCTTAGGCTCGAGTACAGTAAAAACGTAACTAATTTAGATGGATCGCGGTACAGACCATCTGAATTAGATAAAAGTCTGAATTACATAACATTTTAAAAGCAATTCAGTTTTACTGCTTTCAAATAACTTCCAAGTAACAAGACTGCAAAAGCATCAATAGGTAAATGTTTTGGAGACCAAATCTAGTGACAAGTAAAAAGGAACTGTAATTATTACATTAATTGCTTGCATTTGAATACTTCTTCCAAAGCGTCAAGAGAAACTTAATTCCCTTAAATGGACTTATTGTGCCTCCAGTGTTATGTAACTTAGCAAGGATTTATTAAACATGTATTATAAAGAAAGCACTGGCGGGGGGTGGGGGGAAGTATATGGAAAAGTTTATAATCTTGTGAGGGTGGTACAATGCACACCGTTAAATCAATCTCTGGCCGTTTTGTTGACCAGGTCACTCCCTTCCATCGATTTTCCTCTGGAAATGGGGCGAGGCAAGTGATCCGCAACCCTAGCGTGTTATGTCCAAACTGCTGAGCTGCTGAGGCAACGGTGTGCCTGGGTGCCTGGATTCACTCCTCGTGAAATCACTAGCACTTCCCAGACTTGTTGGCCTCCAAACGTCCTGTCTCTTGCTTTCAGTGCCTCTCATCCCACCACACAGGACGTGCCTGATCCCGAGTTACAGGAACTGGAGCTGATGGGGCTCCGCCGCGTCCTGTTCCTCTGGTCAATGACATGGCGTCAAGCGCCCCTAACACAGCTCCTGCTGACATCTCCTGACCGGCGGATAATCGTGCCCAAGTCCGACGCCTTTTCAAGGCCTCACAGAGAGCTTTGCGAAACAGGCTCAAGTGCTTTCCAAAGACAGGCCACAGGGGACGTTTCTGTTTTCAGCTGAGACCTAACAACCTTGTCCCTTCCCTCCGTAGCAGGTGATAAACGTCCGGGGTATCACGACGCCGAGCTCATGGGATATAAAACTGAGGTTTTAGGGAGCTCAGAAACTCAAAGTTTCCGGGAAATTGGGTTGAAGCCTGAGGGGTTCAGGCTACCGGCCAGAGGGGGCTGGACGGGCCCGGTGACGACAGGACCCAAGGCTCACAGGCCGTTTCTCTTTCCCGTTTTACCGTCCGTGGGGGGCGGGAGCGGACTCTGACCACGGACAGGGCAAGTCACCCTTCCACCGCTTCAAGACGGCAGCTGGAAATGACCACGGTGAGAGCGCGGACACCGGGGGGGGGGGGGGCAGCAAACGCTCCACTGGAGGCAGCTGCCCCCGCACCCCCACCAGAGCCGGCCACCGGCACCATCAGGCCTCGTCTTCGGCTTCCCGAGCTCGGGGGCTGCTGTCCCCGGGGGAGGCGCCACGCGGGCACCGCCGGCTCACTGACCTGGGCTCGGTTGGTGTACAGCACCTTCATGTCCCTGAGCTTCTCCAAGCCCTCGCTGTAGCACAGGACGGCTGCTTCGTAGTCGCCCCTGGCGAACGCTCCGTTCCCCCTTTCTTTCAGGGCTGGGAGAGTGAGAGCCACACAGTGAGCTCTGCCCACACACCCCAAGTTCTCTGACACCGTGCGCCCCTGGCTCCGCGACCCGGCTCCACCCGCCCAAAGGAGACCATTCCTCAGCAGACATTTCGGGATCAACCTCTTTAAGGATTTTTTTCTCCTGCAAACCTATCCCCAAGTCTCCCAAGTAGCTCCTCCGAAAAATAACTGTTTCTGGGGCACGTGGGTGGCTCAGTCGGTTAAACGTCCGACTCTTGATTTCAGCTCAGGTCCTGATCTCACGGTTTGTGAGTTCAAGCCCTGCGTTGGGATCTACGCTGACCACACAGAGCCTGCTGCTCTCTCTCTCTCTCTCCCTCTCAAAATAAACTTTTAAAAAAGTACTTAAGGAAACAAACGTTTCTGCCTCAAAACGCAGGACGTCTCCAAGCTTACCACAGAGGCCGAGGCTAACAGTCGGTGTCTCACCGAGGGCCAGGGGAGGCATTTCCCTGGTTCTATTCAGATGTGCGGTGCACACCGCCAGGGATACAAAAGTGCCCAACGCGTGTGTCCCTCCAACGCACACACAGCCCCGTCTCTCTTCCCCTCTCCTCTCCCTTCTCACATCTGCATTTCCTGGTTTCATTCTTCTTTTTCACTCTTCCTCGGTGCCTCAGGCCGGCCCTTCCCTTCCGCCCTCCCTACTGACCCTTCAGCGCGGCTCGGCCTGATCTGGGAGTTCGGTCCCTGGGCTTTCGAAAGAGGTCTGGCTGCGGAGCCTGATGGAGGGCTCTGCCCTGTTGCCTGCCTGCTGCAGCAGGGCCTGGGGGCGGACGGCACTGGCCTCTGCCTGGCCAGGCCCTGCTGTCTCAAGCCCCTCACGCGGCCCCCCTCCCCCCGCCCCCCGGCCCGGAATCTCGCTGTCCTCAAATATCAGCAGACCAGCTCATGCTCTTTCTGGCACAAATCATCCCAGCTCTCAAAAAGTGAAGACTGACAGTTACCATCTGCTAAGACTTTGTTCTCCCGTCTTCTCCTGGCGCGTTCCTGTGCGTCCAATTCCATCGATGCCAGGAAGGCTTCTGACAGCAGAGTAATTTCAGATATTAAAGAGAAAAATCCAAATACTATAACCAGTTCCTTAGCTCAAATTCAGAAGAAAGCTTCTTTAGAGATTTAGAGCCACACATCTCATGCATATATATGTAGGCAGGCACGCGCGCGCACACACACGCGCACACACACACACACACACATTCTGAGGCAATGAAAATGACATTTTCTTAATTTGACATTAAGTGGTAATCTGCGGGATGTATTATTATACATGATGGCTATGTCTGTGCTTCAAATTTGAATTATGCCTTTTAAAAGAGTTTTTCTTGAAAGGTAGACTTTATTGTTCCTTTTAGCATAATGAGCTTCTGAGCTGGGCAACAGAGGAGCTACCCGGCTCCCTTCGGCAGCTAAGAATAAATTGGTAGATACAGACTCACTGAATTCCGTTTAGAAGAAACGGTCTAGGAGAAATGACAGAAAAGCCTGTCCTCTGACCACTAGTAGGAGAACTGGCTGATCAGCAGGCTTTTGTCCATGGGTTGTTTGTAAGCTCAGAGGCTATAATTTAAGGGTTTGGAAGCTATAATCTATAAACACTGATCCTAAATGAATAATACACATTTGGAAGAGAGATGCTGGCCTTACCTGTGCTTATTTCATCGGTATTCTGCAGGTACGGGTCATCATAAAAACAAGGAAACAAATTTCAGAAACCACTCTGATTTAGGCAGATATAAAGCAAGAACGTGAATCCTTTACAAGTAGGGGGGTAGGGTTGTTTCCTCTAACCATCGGTAATGAAGGGCCCCCAATTCGGAAGGCTTGCTTTAAATTAATTCTGATAAAGCCTAAGGTTGTTACAGGGTAAGCAGGTTGGGACCCCAGCCGTGGCCGTCTGAGCTGGAAACACAAGACTGGATACATTACCTTAACAGTACACCTTAGATAGGCTCACAGGCTCAGGAGGTAGAGGGGACAAGGTTTCATTAAAATAAACCCATTGTTTACAGATAACTCAGGATGACAAAGGGAAAAAAAAAAAAAGCAAAGTTTATATTTCCTTGTGGAAAATACATCTAGCGAATCTAAACACCAAAAGCCCACTTTGGTCTCGAGAGGCAGTTTGAGATTAAACCACCGCTACTCTGCTTTAGCCCAGACCTCTTCTCTGTATCTGCTATCTAACTCCAAAATAGAAAAAGAAACCTGGGTAGGAGCTTGCGGAGGGCTGATCATGGTCTTGCTCAGGGTGGTCCGGCATCCATCCTCCTCTCGGACCACCTCCGTAAACAGCAGTCTCTTCTCCGTCTCCAGGACCGCTCTCTCTTGTACAACTGGGTCATCGGAATTCATCCCCTGAATTAAACTGGCTGCAGGAGAAATCAGATGCGAATCATTCACACAAGGTCTTCAGACAGAAAGCCTCCGTTCACTAGGCAGGACGGGGTAGCATATGCAAGGGGCAGAACTGCTGTTTCTCTGGCTTTAGGGGCAGATGACTGACGTACAACACCGTGTAAGTTTAAGGTTCACAGTGTGACGCTTTGATCCACGGACGTGCTGTGAAGTGATCCCACAATAAGGTCAGTTAACACAGCCATCTCCTTAGGTAATTACAATGTTCATGTGTGTGCTGGGAACGTTTAAGATCGACTCTCTTAGCGCGTTCCAAGTATAAAATACAGTGACTATAGCCACCATGTTGTACATTAGATCCCCGAACTTCCTCATTTTAAAACTGAAGTTTGTACCCTGTGGCCAACATCTCCCCATTTCTTTGTTTTCCCTCCAGTTTTATTGAGAAGTCACTGACATACATCACTGTATAAGCTTCAGGCGTCCTGTGTGATGGCTGGATTTATGTATGTTGTGAATGACAGAACTGGTTCCGTTAGGCACTCTCCTACACTGTTGGTGGGGATGTGAATGGGTGCAGCCCCTCTGGAAAACAGTGTGGAGGTTCCTCAAAAAATCAACAGAACTCCCTTATGACGCAGGAATAGCACTGCTAGGAATTTACCCAAGGGACACAGGAGTGCTGATGCACAGGGGCACATGGACCCCAACGTTCATAGCAGCGCTCTCAACAATAGCCAAAACACGGAAAGAGGCTAAGTGTCCATCCACGGACGAATGGATCAAGAAGATGTGGTTCATCTATACAATGGAATACTACATGGCAATGAGAAAAAACGAAATCTGGCCATGTGTAGCAATGTGGATGGAACTTGAGGGTGTTATGCTGAGCGAAATAAGTCAGGCAGAGAAGGACAGATACCATATGTTTGCACGTATGGGTGGATTCGGAGGAACTTAACAGAGGACCGTGGGGGAGAGGGAGGGAGGCAAACCATGAGAGACTCTTGAATGCTGAGCACAAACTGAGGGCTGATGGGGGTGGGAGAGAGGGGAAGGGGGGATGGGCATGGAGGAGGGCACTTGTTGGGATGAGCACTGGGTGTTATATGGAAACCAACTTGACAATAAACTATTTAAGAAAAAAAAAAGATTTTTTCCTAGCTTTATTGAAATATAATTGACAGATAAAAACTGTATATATTTAAGGTGAAAAAAAAAGAACTGATTCCGTTAATATCTATCTTTTCTTATAGATGGGATAAAAAAAGAAAAAGGAAAAGATTCCCTCCATGTGATGAGACCTCTTAGAATTTACTCTCTTGACAACACTCCTATCCATCCTACAGCAGTGTTAATGGTGTTGTACATCACACCCCCCGCACAGACTGATCTTATAACTGGATGTTTGTGCTTTTGACTCCCTTCCTCCAACTCCCCCTCCCACACCCTCAATCTCTGGTAGCCACAAATCTGGTCTCTTTCTGACTTTTTTTCTTTTCTTTCTTTTTTTTTTTAAGATTCCCTATGTAAGCAAGATCACAGAGTACTTGTCTTCTCTGACTTATTTCACTTAGCATTATGCTTTCAAGGTCCACCCATGTTGTCACAAATGGTAGGATTTCCTCAGTCTTTATGGCTGAATAACACCCCCTTGTTTATGTATACCACAATGTCATTATCCATTCATTCACAGATGGGCACTTAGGCTGTTTCCACGTCATGGCTATCGTAAACGATGCTGCTGTGTACATGGGCGTACAGATACCCAGTTAGTGTTTTCATTTCCCTCGGATAGATTCCCCAAAGTGGAATTACTGGATCCAATGGTATTTGTTTTTAATTTTTTGAGGAACCTCCATACCATTTTCCACAGTGGCTGTGCCGGTTTACATTCCTACCGACTGTGCACAGGACTCCCTTTTCTCTATAACCTCGCCAACATCTGCTGACAGCGACTCTGAAAGGCGTGCAGTGGTGTCTCAGTGTGGTTTAATTTGCATGTCCCTAATGACTAGTGACACTGAACATCTTTTCATGTGCCTGTTGGCCTTTCATATATTTCTTTGGAGAAATGTCTATTTGGGTCCTTTGCCCATTTTTTAATCAGGTAATCTGGTGTGTTTTGTTTTTTGCTGTTGAGTTGTTTGAGTTCTTAATATATTTTGGATATTAACCCCTTATCAAATACATGGTTTGCAAATAGCTTTTCCCATCCCTTAGATTATCGCTCCCCATTTCTTAAAGACGGTTCTGAATGGAAAGCAAAAGCTAGAGCAATTAGAACCAATGAGAAAAAATTAAGATCAGGATTTGTTTTCCCTGGAAGGCGCTGCAGGAGAATTTCTCCTTGGCCTTCAAATTGCAGTTTTAAGCTCCTTATTTAATTCAATGACAGTGTACGGACAGCTTATTATGAGTCAGATATTATGCAGAAGGCCCTCGATAACGACGATGAATAAAAAAGATGCTGACTTTTGAAGAACTTCCAATCTTGTGTGGGAGACAAACAGGTACATTCAGGCAGCCTGAGATCGCAGAACAGCCCTTACAGCCACCCTTCTGGGTCTTCACTTCACGGCCCCCTCAGCTTACAGCCCGCGGTCCATCCCTAGGCCACCATGCGGCCCACATGCTGACCTCCCCTGCCCTCCCACCTGCCACACAAAACTCCCAACTCCAAATCCAACTCGGCATTTCTCTGGGCCTCTGTGAAGGGCGCGGCGCACTGAGAGAGAACACAGGGACACCGGGGAGACCTGGCCCTAACTCGCCCGCCCTGTCCAGGATGCTTGGCAATCCAACTGCTGCCCCGGTTCCAACGTGAGCTTCTCCCCACTCCAGCATGCAAATCTGACACTGGCTGGGCATTCTACAATTCAGCTGAGTTCTGACATGACCTACCTGGGACAGTGTCAGATCCCACAGCTTAGAGGCCCCGTCCTCCCCACCTCCCACTTCGGATGTTAGCTGCAAGCCCAGATTGTCACCTGTGCTTCAGACCGAACATCTATCGATCAGAGGGCCCCACAACCTCCTCTCCTCTGGTTTGATTCACTGGCTAGAGCAGCTTACAGAACTTAGAGGAATGTTTCACTTACTAGATTACCAATCCGTCATAAAAGGATGTACTCAGGAAGAGCTGGATGGAAGGGGTTCGTAGGGCAGGGGTGTGGGAAGGAGGTGGGAGCATCCAGGCTCTCTGAGCACACCCCTCTCCCAACACCTCCATGTGTCCACCAACCTGGAAGCTCCCTGATCTCGGTCCTTTTGAGTCTTTATGGAGGCATCAGTACATTGGCCTGATCGATTAAAAGTCACTGGCCACGGGTAATCAGTTCAACCTCCAGCCCCTCTCCCCTTCCCAGAGGGTTGGGGTTGGTTTCCCTGGCAACCAGCTCCCATCCTTAGCTACCAAAAGTCACTCATTAACATAAGCTCTGGTGTGACTGAAAGGGGTTTGTCATGCATATCAGGATGTCTTTGCCTTGTCACTTAGGAGCGCCCAGGGGTTTAGGAGTTCTGTGCCAGGCACAGGGACGAGGAACAAACAGGTGTTTCTTATTATAAGTCAACAGGTGTTTCTTATTATAAGTCACAGTATCAGGGTGACTGGGTGGCTCAGTTGGTTAAGAGGCCAACTTTGGTTCAGGTTATGATCTCGCGGTTCATGAGTTCGAGCCCCATGTCGGGCTCTGTGCCGACAGCTCGGAGCCTGGAGCCTGCTTCGTGTTCTGGGTCTCACTCGCTCTCTGCCCCTCCCCAACTCATTCTGTCTCTGTCTCTCTCAAAAAATGAATACACATTTTAAAAATAAATAAATAAATAATAAATCACACTATCACACCCACTAAGTCATCCTTTCCTTCTCTCAAGGACTTTAAAATACTGCCTCCCATCAAGGGAGTGTGCATTGTTGGTGGCAATGCAAACTGGTGAGGCCATGGTGGAAACCAGTTTGGAGGGTCTTCCAAAAATTAATAGCAGTGGGGCGCCTGGGTGGCTCAGTCGGTTGAGCGTCCGACTTTGACTTGGGCCATGGTTATCACTGTTCGTGGGTTCAAAACCCGCGTCAGGCTCTGTGCTGACAGCTCGGAGCCCTGGAGCCTGTCTTTGGATTCTGTGTCTCCCTCTCTCTGTGCCCCTCCCCTGCTCGCACATGCTCTCTCTCCCTCTCTCTCTCAAAAACAAATAAACATTAAAAAATTTTTAAAAAATCAATAGCAGTAATTGCCGTCTGATCCAGTCATTTCACTACTGGGTACTCACCTAAAGAAAACAGAACACTGATCTCAAAAGCCAGAGGCAGCCCATGTTTATTAGCGCTGTTTACAAGAGCCAGGCGTGGAGTGTTACTCAGCGACAAGTGAAACTGTGCCATCTGCAGTGTCCCGGGGGGGCCGGCGAGTGCTACGCCGAACGGCATGAGCCAGTCAAGAGAAAGACAAATACCACACAGTCTCTTCACTCAGGTGGAATTTAAGAACAAAACGAATGTACGAGCAAAGAGAAGACAGAGACGGAAAACCCAACTGTGGAGAGCAGGGAGCAGAGTGGCGGCCGCCACCATCCACCGGCCCGGCCCGAATTCGGAGCTGCTGTCATCCTCAGGGCCCTGCTGGCCAGCTTCTCCCCCCGGACACTCCTGCTCTCTCCCACGTTCTAAGTACCGTCTCCAGCCGCTGCCCCTGGCACGGGGGTCCCCTCACATGCGCAGGGCCAGCTGTCCCCTGAACCCCTGCACCACGACGTCCTACTCACAGGCCGGGCTGCGCGTCGTCTTCACCCCGAGGCTCTGCTTCCTCCAAACGCCTCTAGCAGACAGCGAAACACCCACCTGGCAGTTGACCCAAAACTTTTGGGACTCACTTTTTTAAAATGTATTTTGACAGAGAGAGAGAGAGACAGAGACAGAGAGAACACGAGGGAGAGGCAGAGAGACAGGGAGACAGGGAATCCCAAGCAGGGTCCGCGCTGCCAGCGCAGAGCCCGATGCAGGGCTTGATGCAACGAATTGAGAAACCACGGCCTGAGCAGAAACCCGGGGGCGGATGCTCAGCTGGCTGAGGGCTCACTTGTGGGTTTTCACTCTCCCTCCACCTCACAGCCATCAAACTCTAAAGGTCATCAGGTAGATGCTAAATAGATGCTAAATCCATGTCCCTGTGCCCGGTGCTGCTGCTCCAGGTCTACACTGAGCTGACTCGTCCCCCGGTGCCGTGACAGCCTCCTGACTGGTCTCCCAGCACCCACTCTCCTGTCCCCTCGTATCTACACCCACACTGTGGCCAGAGAGACCTAAGGTGCAAATCTGATTGTGTTCCTATGCTGAGTCCACTCTCCGAAGGCTTCCCACTGCTCTCGGGGTAAACGCGAATCCCACCTTGCGGCTCCCAAGGTCTTCCCTGACCCGGCCTTTCTGGACTCACATGAGAGCCTGCTCTCCGTGATCCCTCCCTCCAGCCACATGCTGCTATTTATGCCTTCAGTTTCCCAGAAGCACCTTGTTCCTTCTTAACTCCCAGCTTTCCTGCTTACATTCCCCCCACTCAGAATATTCCCTCACCTTCTCCCCAGTGCCCGAGCCCTACCCACACTTCAGGTTTCTGCTTAAATCCCATGCTTTAGGGAAGCCTTCTAAAACCCCTGGGTGGAAGTGTGGCCCCCACTCCGTTCCTATGTGGCCCCCGTGTGGGTGTATTGGCAGAGAGCCTTTAAAGGTGGAATTTGGGTTAAATAGGGGACACTTGGGTGGCTCAGTTGGTTAAATGGTTAAATGTCCGGCTCTTGGTTTCAGCTCAGGTCATGATCTCATGGCTTTGTGGGTTAGAGCCCCGTGTCAGATGGGCTCTATGCTGGCAGTGGGGAGCCTGCTTGGGATCCTCTTTCTCTCTCTCTGCCCCCCCACTCGCTCTGTCTCTGTCTCATTCAAAATAAATAAATAAACTTAAAAAGGTTAAATGAGGCCCTGAGGATGGGTCACTGAACAACGGGACCAACAGCCTTATAAGAAGAGAAAGTGATGCCGGGGATGCAGCCACATGCACAGAAAAATGACCCTGTGAGGACGTCGCGAGAAGGCGGCCATGTCCAAGCCAAGGAGAGAGGCCTCAGGAGAAACCAAATCTGCCGACACCTTAATCTTGGACTTCCAGCCTCCACAACTGTGGCAAGTAAACTTCTATTGCTTAAGCCATCCAGTCGGTGGTAATAAGGTGGTATTTTGTTACAGCAGCGCAACCAGACTGATACAACTTGTCAACCGAGTTACAATCTCTTGTACTTTCAAATCTCAAATCTCCCTTCGTATACACATCACACTGGAGATTACTTGTGTAGTATCTGCTCTCCCTACCGCACTCTGGACATCCTAAAGGAAGGAAAGTCCTAGTTATCGTTACCGTGCTCTCTGGTGCCTAGTAATACTCAGCACATAGCGAGGGCCCGGGAAAGGAGTGTAAAGAATCCACACAGGTGGCTATACAAATTGAAACAAATTACAAATGAGATAAAATTAGAAATTCAGTTCCTGGGTAGCGCTAGCCACATTTCAGATGCCCGACAACCGCATGCAGTTACTGGCTGCCATGGGGGACAGTGCAGACTAGGGGACATTTCCACCAGCACAGAAAGTTCTGTCGGCCAGCACTGGTATAAATGGTACCTGCACGAACTCGGGGGCGTTAATGGGCCAGTAAAGACAGATGGGGAGGGAGGCAGAGCGAAGGTTAAAGGCCACATACAGAGCGTAAGCCACCAGGGTGCAGGTGGGGGAACCAGAAGTGTGAGGAAGGGAGAGGCGAGAGGTAAGGACAAGGTCATGGGAGGGCTAAGTCCCCGATGAGAGCTTGGAGTTTATTGTGGCTGCGGAGAGAATCCAAGCAGAGAAGTGTCTGGGTCAGATTTGCATTTTTAGATACATTTCTCTGTGGGGAGCGCAAGCCTGGAGGCAGGAAGAGCAATCGGGGGGCTGCTGAGACAGTGTGGGGGAGGGAACCGGGGCAGGGCAGGGGCACAGACGGCGGAGCTGGTAAGGAGGCTAAACCTGACGGCTGACGGAGAGGAGGGCGGGGTGACAGGAGCCCATTGGGACTGCTAACCTTCTGGATGGCGGTGCCACCAACGGAGGCTAGAACGAAGGGGAAGGTGGGAGAAGCGGTTTTACGTGGGAGGAGGAAGGGGGGCAGGGGGGCAGCGCAACGAGCACCTGTAATCTGCGGTGCTTGTGGGGTGCGGCGGCTGTGACGGGTGGCACAGGGCCCCAGCCTCGGCTAAGAAGGCTGGGTGGCGATGGAGATGTGGGGGTGGCGAGTAAACGGGCTGCTGCGAAAACCACGTGCTGGGGCCGGACCCCCAGAAGAGAAAGGTGAGCAGCCGCAGGCTGAGGCCAGAACTCCGCACAACAGCATCTGGGGAGGGGTAGACGACAGGCCTGGGACGTTATCTTTTATCAAGTGACCCAAAGGACTTTAAAAACCACCTGAACGCTCAGGAGCCATACAGCCTGCTGGAAGGAGCAATTTCACCCTACTTCTATGTGACAGGCAAGATTGGTTTGATGGTTGCTTTGTTGGTTTCCGTCACCAGTCATGTTCCCTGAAGCTTGAAAAAAAAAAAAGACCCAATGTGCTCTGGAATCTCCAGGATGTGCTGTGTGGGGTCAGAGCATGTCCTCTGAGACCCCGCCTGTCCCAGGGGGTAAGGGGTCTTCATGTTTAAAAGCAGAGAGACGGCGGGGTAGGGCAACCGGGAGCCGGTCAGGTAATCAGGTGGAGCTGGGGGGAGACCCGCTTGGTTTTGCTTCTGCAGCTCAAAACCGTGGCTCTGCCCCAAAACAAGAGGAGACGGATCGCTGAGGTGCCGCAATGGTCTCGGAGGGAACAGTTAGGGCGCCTCTGACGTGAATTCTACGCGGAAGGGGACAGAATATGGAGGGGAGCTGTCAGCCTCCATCCCAATCAGAATGTTAACGGCTTTTCTGATCCCAATTAACAGCCTCCAAATACTACCCGAGGCTCTAATACTACTCGCTTCTCAATATCCTTTCTGTTTAATTCCAATTACATTTTCTCTTAGACTCATAAGCCCATCAGATAACCCAGGAACTCAGAGTGATCACTTCTTTTCAGCCACCCACCTCGCTAACGTGGAGTTCAATTTGTTTATGATTTACTGGTACTTACTGATTTCATCCACATTTTTAAGAAATTTCTGCAAGTCTTTTTCCTGATCGCCAGCCATTGTCAAGCAGAATCCCTGAGGGAGGCAGCAGCAGTGACGAAAATTAATAGTAATAAAACACTAAACAGAATTTGTCAGGTTCATTAGCCTTCTAAAACTAAGACCCAAGCGATTATTTTTAAGATGGATTTGTGTTCATAAATGTCAAGAATAACGGCAGGGTGATCTATTTCAGTCTGATTGCCGGGAAGGCCAAGGAGGGGGGATACTCATTATTTGTGGTGATACTTTGGGAAAGCTGTCAGCCTCCCTCCGCTGGGAAAACCGCTCTGCAAGTGGCCTCCAAGGCCAAAATCCACTGCGGTGATTCAGGGACCTGGTGCAAAGGAGGCCAGGAATGGAGGACAGTAATGCTGGACTTTGATTATGAGGGCCTGCCCAGCCAGAAGCCTGGACCTGGCTGTGTCACTGGTAACCGGGAGCAGGAGAATGTGCATTTAAATGTCCAAACTTGTTTAAAATATAAGCCTCTAGGGGCGCCTGGGTGGCTCAGTCCGTTAAGCAGCTGACTTCAGCTCAGGTCATGATCTCATGGGTCTTGAGTTCGAACCCCTACATCAGGATCTGTGCTGACAGCTCAGAGCCCGGAGCCTGATTAGGATTCTGTGTCTCCCTCTCTCTCTGCCTCTCCTCCATTCACACTCTGTCTAAAAAAAAAATGTATATATATATATATATATATATATATATATATATATGCCCGTCTTGTTTCCGAGGAGTGAAGAGAAGGTAAAACTTGGCTGAAGGGATGAGAACTCGATGGCACTGGGCACCAGCATCTCTGCTCCTGTCCAGCCACCTTGGATTTATGACTCTCTCTCAGTTGGTTCGTGAGTAAAAAGGCCTCACGGTGTACCCACTGGTCCGCAGCCTTAGCGCCAGAGCTTCTGAGCCTGTAAACCTGCCGTGGCGCCCGGCAATGGGTACTTTTCAACACGCACTGAGTGATTCCGACTCGTGGTTAGATTTAGCAGTAGTGCAGCCCTGGAACGCACCAATTACTGGAAATCTGAACTCTGCCACCAACGGGCTGGGAAGGATCGGACTTTGTGACACGCCACCAGTTATAAGCTGTGCGACCTCGGCTAAATTCACCAACCTCTCTGAGTCTAAGTCATTCTATGCAAACGGTAATAGGAGCCGAGAGGGCTACCCTGGGGGTTCACTGAAAGCGCCCGGCACACAATGAGTGGTACAGGCGAGGCACCCTTATCTGTAAAACGAGGGAGGTGGGACGTGTGGCTTAACTAGAGGGGCGCTGGGGCCCTTCCAGCTCCTTCCGGGACAGGCTGGTGAAGCGACTTAACTTGCCCAAGGTTGGCGGTGCGGAAGGAAGGCTCCGCATGTCTCCGGGCAGGTGCAGTGCAGGGCCGGTCGGGGCCGGACGTGAACTCTCGCGAGCACGCGGCCCGCGGCGCGCACGGGAAGACCAGCGAGCAGCTCGCCTGGACGGCCCCGCCCCGTCCGGAGGGGCGGGGCCGACGGCACCGTTGCCCGGCAACCGCTCCACAGCGTCCACCGGCCCCCGTTCCCAAAGCCGAGGTCCCAGCCCGCGGCGGACATCGTCCCATCTGCTGGGGCCCACACCAGCGTCCTCTGCTCGGCGGGGACGGCCGGATCAGGACCACAACCCGAGGAAGACCCCGAGCTACCCCACCGCACTGACCTGGCGCGCCCAGAGCCGGACAGGAAATGGCGGCTGTTGGCGGGTGGGGACTGACCAGGAGCGGGGGCGTGGCCAGAGTCTGGGGCGTGGCTAGGGCCCGGGAGTGGGCGGGGCCCCAGAGCTCTGGTGCTGGAGCTTGCGCGTTGCCCCTTCTCCGCGGAGCGGGCGCCCTGGGTTCAGGATGGGTATCGGGTCGGGGGCTGGAAGCAGGTCTCTGAATCAGGGCCAGGTTTTCGCCTCTTTTTCTTCTAAGGAGGGGGTATCTCTCCCATCATCTTACTACCCTGGCCCATAAAGGGGACAGTCTCCAGTGTACTTGGGAGAGACAAGCTTGGGTGTGAAACTGGTTTTGCTTATTGCTAAATGTGAGACCTTTGGAGAGTTCTGTGATCTTCTGATCTCAAGTTTTCTCGTCTATAAACTGGAGAGATGGCACATTCTCGTAACGTTTATGGTTGAAGTGCCAGGCATCTGGTCAGTAGGAATACGTGTTAGTTATTATCCAGGGAATCCTAGGATTTGGAGCAGAATGAGACACCTCACACTTTGAATACATGCCCACAGCTTTAAAGAGATTCCAGTCTATTTTTTGAAACAAAACTTCGGTATTATGTACTGGGTTAAAGCGGGGAGAAAAGCTGGTTTGGGGGAAAGTTCTGTCTTGACCTTAAGCTCAGAAACCTTTGGGATACCTTGGGAAGTTTGTGGGTGCATTTCAGAAACCCGTTTGCTGGCAGAGGAGCCCCTGGGGATAGAACTTACCAGAAGGGGAGAGGTGTCCAGACACCATCAGCTAGATCCAACACTGGTTGAGTACAGTCTGCCGACCAGGCCTGGTAGTTTGCATGTCAGCCCCATGGAGGACAGGGGGTGTTTGACTGAAATCTCCAGAAGGTGTTGGTACACATCAGTCCTGCCCGGGACCGTCCCCCCCCCTCCCTCCCCCTCCAGCGCCCAGTAGCATAGAGCACACAGGGCCAGGGCCATGTGCCTCTTCAGCAGAGCCCTTAGTATATTAGCTGCAGCAGGAGGCAGTGGGACCTGGGGGACCCAGCTGTATAGTCACAGTTGCTGGCCCCAGGGACTGAGCTGCCTCATGAGAAGTAGCAGAGCCGAGGTGTCTGGCAGCACGGGGCTGTTGTGAAAGCCACACCCTGGACATTCTCAGAAAGACCTGGGTTCCTTTACAGTAACCATGGAGCCTGTGGGAATTGATGGAGACAAGAGCCAGTGATGGGTCATCACTTTGAGCATCGCCCCACTTTCCCCCCAGGCTTGTGAGCTCCTGAGCACACACAGGCATATAATCTCCAGCCTTAGGCTCCTTCTTGTCACTTCAAGGCTGACAGTCTTAATTCCAAGTCACTTTCATTCCACTGCTCTTCACCAAACTCTGGTCCTAAACTCTGAGAGGGGCCTACCCACAGCCAGTATACCATACTACCCTTCATTCACACATTCGTGTGTCGACCGTGGGTGGTCTGCCCTGTGCCAGGTGCTGTGGCGAGTCCCCGAGGTGCACTTGATAACTACTTATCAGGCTTGAGTGCTCAGGACCTCTAGAAGCAGTCCGCCCTGGGCCCAACCTCAGCTCTCCACTAGGCAGCATTTACTAAAATATTAAGCCCCTCCGATGCACCTTTACCGAGCTACCTGCTGGAAATCCTTTTCTCTTCTCTACTCTTACTATTACTAGTTATGTGACCTTGACAAGTTACTTAATCTCTTAGTTTCCTCCTGTGAAAAAATGAAGATGTTAAATAGTATCCATCTTATAGGATTGCTGTGAGAGGTACATGAGTTAGGACAGGGAGAGCATCTAGACAAAACATGGAGCGTTATCAAGACTCAGCAAATGTTATTCACTCTTATTACTACTCTTGTAATTGGTATGAGTTAGACCAGCACTTCAGAACCTGGACTATGCCAAGAATTACCTGGGGATTTTGCTAAGTTGAAGATTCAGATTCGGCAGGACCGGCACGTGATGTCTCTTTGTGAGGTATGGGCCACAGTGAGTAGCACATGAATAATGTTTTCTTTATGTTAGAAGTTATTTATAGTTTCTATAGTTAGAAGTTATTTTTTTTCTCCTTCAAGTCATATTTCCATTTCACACCCCTCTGCACACACATACTCAGAATACTATCCTAATACAGGATACTTTTAAAAAATATCTAATTTATTGTCAAGTTGGCTAACATACAGTGTACACAGTGTGCTTTTGGTTTCGGGGATAGATTCCCGTGGTGCATTGCTTACATACAACACCGAGTGCTCATCCCAACAAGTGCCCTCCTCAGTGCCCATCACCCATTTTACCTGTCCCCTGCTCCCCTCCCAATCCACCCTCAGTTTGTTTTCTGTATTTGAGAGTCTCTTATGGTTTGCCTCCCTCTCTGTTTGAAACTATTTTTCCCTCTTCCCTTCCTCCGTGGTCTTCTATTGTTTCTCAAGTTCCACCTATGAATGAGAACATGTGATATCTGTCTTCGCTGACTTATTTCACTTAGCATGATACCCCCCAGTTCCATCCGCATTGTTGCAAACGGCAGGATTTCATTCTTTGTCCTTGCCAAGTAGTCTTCCACTGCTAATACAGGATATTTTTATGCTTGGATGTCTCTTACTCATCATCCATCCTAATTCTCTGCCGCAGAAATATCAACACGCATGGCTGGAATGTTTGCGTTAACCAGACACCATACTGTAAGTCAGGGACACAGCCCGTGTCCTCAGTGAATTCACAGTCCAGCGAGGAGGATAGATGCATAAACAGATGATCACCAGGCGGTGGGATAGAGGCGGTGAGGACTAGCGCTTACGGAAGAAGGAAGGAGGCGGAGAAGGAAATGAAGCCAGAGCCCCACAGGAGTAGGGATTTACATACTTCGTGTGGAAGCTGAACATGTGTACAGTGCTGCAGGCGGGGCCGACAGAATGAGCAAACGTTTAGAGTCAGGAAGCATGGTGCCGTGGGGGAGAAAACAGAAGTTTAAGGCAACAGTGGTGAGAAATGAGCCAGAGAAATGGGTTCCGACACAGAGTGTCAAGGTGGGGAGCCATAGGAAGAAGGGGAGGCAAGGAAGAGAGCGGGCGAGAGGGGGAAAAAAAATACCTGGGCAGGAGGGATGCCGAGGAGAGGGCAGGTGTGTTTGCTCCTAGGTCAAGGTAGGTGTAAGGATATTCACCAGCCATGCACGCTGGCATCTTTGGGAGTCATTTCCATCTTGTTGGCTCCCATGTGGGTCTCTATCCAGCCAAGACCTTGCTCCACACCCTGGCCTTCTGATTCAACAGGGCAACTAGACTGTGAGTCTCTTGGGGGTAGAGTTTTGTTTTATTTTGTCTTAGTATTCCCAGCACCTGGTGCTCAGATGGAGCCAAATTTAGATTTGCTGAGTAAGCGAGTTTATTTCTTGCTCTGCGTGGGGGAAGGCTGCATCCAGTCCAAGTTATTCTACATGGGAATGGAATATGGATGTTTACAGTTTCTCTGCGTCAGGCTTCCCAAAGAGGTCCATCTTGGAGGGCAGACATTGTTACAGTCACAAATGAGGTTTTAGGGTAAATCTACTTGAAAGATTGATCCCTTTAAAATGAGCAGTTAGGCATCCAACTCTTGATTTCGGCTCTGGTCATGATCCCAGGGCTGTGGGATCGAAGCCTGCATCAGGCTCTGTCCTGAGCACAGAGCCTGCTTAAGATTCTCTCTCTCTCTCTCTCTCTCTCTCTCTCTCTCTCCCTCTTCCCTGCTCATGCTCTCCACCTCCCTTCTCTAAAATAAGATAAAATAGGGGCGCCTGGGTGGCTTGGTCGGTTAAGCATCCAACTTTCGCTTAGGTCATGATCTTGCAGTTCGTGGGTTCGAGCCCTGCGTTGGGCTCTGTGCTGACTGCCAGCTCAGAGCCTGGAGCCTGTTTCAGAGTCTGTGACTCCCTCTCTCTCTGACCCTCCCCTGCTCACGCTGTCTCTCTCTCTCTCTCCTAGAAATAAATTTAAAAAACATTAAAAAAAATAAAATAAAAATAAAATAAAATAAAATAATAAAATAAATAAAATAAAATGTCAGAGGCCCTAGTAAGCCTTGGGTAGTCACCGGGCTGTCTGCAAAGATTCCAATATTCCTCCTTGCAGGCACGCAGTAGGGTCTCACTTCCCTGTGACGGGTGGTTTGCTTGTTCAGTGCTATGTGGGAAGTCGTGAAGAGGCAGAAGCCTTTAAGAGCCAGAGTGTGACTCACCATACACAGCCAGCCCTACCTGTGCCCCAGAAACCAGGTAGCGGAGGCCGTGTCTGTCTGAGCCCCCGAGTGAGGGGACAGGGACCAGAGATGCCCTTCTACCTCTAATGGACATACAGTGTGAGTGAGCAATAAACCTTTTTTGTTTTAATCCACGAAGATTTTGGGCTTATTTGTTAGGCAGCATAGCACAGCTTTTCATGTCTAATACGACAACTCAGACTGCTATAGTTCACTTGCTACAGTGATGAGATCCAGGGACCATGCACATGAGTGCACATAGATCATGATCATTGTGACTTATGTTTTAAGAATCAAGGTCTGCATTTTCACACATGCTTAAACACATAGAGGAAAACACGTTTAAAATGGGTGTGACTCGTGTTTCTAATTCATTCCTCTTAGAGAAGTTTTATGAATCATACTTTCCTAACTCCTCCTTCCACTCAACCTAACCCCCCTGTGTGGTATATACAAGTTGTGCTTTTACTTTATGTCCTCAGAACAATCGGAGAACATTTGGCCCCTTCCACTGTGCAGTTTATCGGAGACTATCATACATAATTAGAAGCTGTCTCTTCTCTCTCCTTTCCTTTTTGTGTAAGTGATTCTAGCTCTTTGCTTCTTCTTATCAGTCATATGTTATACACTTAGGAGAGATAAGGGGAAAAAAATGTGTTTCACCCGAGGGCAGCCGCGTGCGGAGTACAGGGATCCTGCCTGCCCATAAGGGTGCAGACAAGATCAGCTTGGAGCCAGGAGCCACACCGTGAAGATGTCCCATTGGTCACAGCCCCCCATGTAGATGACGGGCCCACAATTCTTTAGTAACTTTGGCCTTAGGATTTCGCAGGGGAGGAAGCTGAAGGAATTCAACATTGTTTCTTCCCTCCCTCAAGGGAACTCGAGAGTCACATTTGATATTTCCCCCCACATATGTCCTTTCATTAAAAAGAAAAGAGGAGCTAAACCGTTTGTCTTTTGGATGCGCTTTTCTCTTTCAGTTTCCACCTGCTTATAGATGAAGAAGTGATTTCGGGACCTCGTCACAGATTTAGTCTGTGTGTCCGCGGACGGCAAGAGTCTTCTCTGGGCTGTCCACGTGTAATTACTGACGCCACAGTTACTAACAACAAAGACGACAACGAAAACCACGGGTGAGGACAGTAACTGGCCTCCCTGACCGGCGTGGGGCCAGGCGTCTAGCTCAGCCCTTCGCAGGCAGTAGCGGACTTAAACCTCTCAGCAGCCTTCGAGATCTTATTCCCAGTCCACGGGTAAGAAAATGCCGTCAGGGAGGTTACGGGACTTGCCAGAGCAGAAGCTAGGATGGGAGCCGTGGTCTGAGTGGCCCCCGCCCGCGCCCCCAGCGCATCCTACCCATCTCGCCACGCTGCCTCCCTCCACGGGCGCCCTTCCCGGGGAGCCCCTGGCCCTCGGCCTGCCTCCTGGCCTGTCCACCTCCCCCTACGGTGCTCCGTCTGCTTCACAGGCGTCCCGCTCTCCGAAGGTGAGGGGTGCATCCCTCCTACAGCCAGAGGGCCATGCCGCCTCCTCCACCCATCCAAGGACAGGCTGACTCCAACAGTGTCCTCCTTTGGAGCCAACGGAAGGGCCTCAGACACTGAACTGACATTGAACTCCGCCTGGTGCGGAGCAGCACTGCCACCGTGTGGGCAGTGCGGGGACAACCACGGTGGCCGACCGGGAACCAGCCACAGAAGCCAGCGTTCCTGCACTTACTTAAAGTCTGTGGACACTTAAGGGACTGAGCACCCAGGCGCCCCTTGTGGGGATGAGCACTGGGTGTTACATGGAAACCAACTTGACAATAAACTATTTAATAAAGTTTGTGGAGCACCTGCTGGGTGTCCTGGACTCGACTAGGCGCCTTCTGTTGCTGCGGCCGCTGCCGAGACTCCTCTGGGGAGTGAAGTAAATTGTGTCAGTGATCTGGGCTCTAGTGAACGTCTGGCATTTCTTCACCATTTATTTGGGGGCACTGTCGTCCCGGGGCAATTCGCGACACCCGGAGTTTATAAAGATGCATCGGCTTGGGGCGCCTGGGTGGCTTAGTCGGTTAAGCGTCCGACTTTCGCTTGGGTCATGATCTCGCGGTTCGTGGGTTCGAGCCCCGCGTCGGGCTCTGTGCTGACTGCCAGCTCAGAGCCTGGAGCCTGTTTCAGTCTGTGACTCCCTCTCTCTCTGACCCTCCCCTGCTCACGCTGTCTCTCTCTCTCTCCTAGAAATAAATAAAACATTAAAAAAAAATTCAAAAAAAAAAAGATGCATCGGCTTTGTGCAGCAGGGGTTCCTTTGCCTCCAAGGTTCTGGGGACAGGCGGGCACACAGAGAAACACAGGACGCCAGTTTCTCACCGCCCTGATGCGGGCTCCACCTCAATGGCTATGAAAGAGCAGGAATATGTCTTTCTAGGACACGTCTTTGCTTCTTTTTGTATCAACTGGGAAATACTGGGGCGTCTGAGTGGCTCAGTCAGTTACGCGTCTGACTCTTGGTTTCGGCTCAGGTCATGAGCTCACGGTTCATGAGATTGAGCCCCACATCGGACTCCATGCTGACAGTGTGGAGCCTGCTTGGGACTCTCTCTCTCTCTCTCTCTCTCTCTCTCTCTCTCTCCCCCAAAATAAATATATTAAATAAATGAACATTTAAAAAACAGGTAAGTACTACATTAAAAGCTTATCCTAGAAACTTAGAAAATAGAGAAAACCAGAAAATTATACCTGACCTCTTTACCCTGACACTATCAGTGTTAACATTTTGATGTATTTCCTCTCTGCTTTTTTTTTCCTGCATTTTTTCTGCAAGTAACTGTGCCTGTATATGATCTTACATTTTACTGTGTCACGTAGCACAGTATCAGCATAATAACAGAGGGCACATTCTGAGCACCCATCTCATCCCAGGCCCTTTGCCAGAGCCTTTCAGTGTCATGTCATGAAGCCATAGAACAATCTTAGGAGATGGTATTACTATCCCTCTTTATTTATTTATTTATTTATTTTTATTTTGAGAGAGAGAGAGAGGCAGAGAGTGAGGATCCCAAGCAGGCTCTGCACAGTCAGCCAAGCCCAGCGTGGGGCTCAAGCCCACAAACCTTGAGATCACGACCTGATCCGAAAGCAAGAGTCAGACACTTAACCGAATGAGCCCCTCAGGCGCCACAATGATTCTTCTTCTTCTTTTTTTTTTTTTTTAAATGTTTATTTTTGAGAAAGAGAGAGAGACAGAGACAGAGAGCAAGTGTGGGAGAGACAGAGAGAGAGGGAGACACAGAATCTGAAACAGGCTCCAGGCTCTGAGCTGTCAGCACAGAGCCTGACATGGGACTTGAACTCACGAGCCATGAGATCATGACCTGAGCCGAAGTCAGATGCATAGCAACTGAGCCACCCAGGTGCCCCCAATGATTCTTCTTTTAATAGACAAGACGACTAAGGCTCAGAGAGGATCCAAACATCCACACGTCTCTCGCCCCTCAAAGTCTGGGCCATGTCACTGCGTGGCTTCAGCAACGCTCATTTAATATCTGCATTGCTCTCCCTGCGTCCCTGCCCTGTGCTGCACCTGCCTACTTGCCCTTCCTTTAGACCTCTATTTAGTTGCTGCTAATCTCGTTTAGCTGATGTCCAGATTGCTGCCACAAGCCTGTCTAAACATACCTTTTTCTAGCTCTAGGATTAATTTCTTAGAGTGGCTTTTCAGAAGTGTGTTTCCTCGTCAAGAGTTTGGACTTTTCACGGCTGCTGGTAGTTTTGAATTGCTTCTCAGCGGAGTTGCACATTGGTACACATCAGCCCTGTAACCGGAAGTGCGTGGCAATGCCAGTTTCACGGCATCCTCACCAGCACTGAGGGTTGATTTCTGTTTCAGGCTAACTGATGATAGGGGCCGCTGGCTGGCTCAGTGGGTAGAGGGTGAAACTCTTGATCTCAGGGTCATAATTCTGAGCCCCATGTTGGGTGTAGAGCTTACTTGAAAAAACAAAACAAAACATGATAAATGGCCTGATAAGAAAATCTGCGATAAGTGGATGGTTTTGTGTGCCTTTCGTCGTTAGAAAGGGTGAAATCCCTTTTGCTTCTCACCACTGTGCTGGTGCTTTCTGCCTCCTTGGTCTTCCCAGAACATCTCTGCTATCATGGTTCCTTCTCAGCTTGGGCCCAAGGACTCTCCCAGGGGGTCTGGAGATAGAATTCTGGGGGTTTGGGGGAAAAAATATCTTTGTTTTTATAAAACCGTTACTGAAGAAGCAGCCCTACTATCGCACCATGAATGCAGGCAGCAGCCACCAAATTGTACCAGGAGCTGTGATATGCTCAGCGACACTTGGAGATGACAGTAGTTACTAGACATGCCGCTAGACTTGTGTTCGGATGTGTTAATAAACAAACACATTTACTACCACATCACACATTTGTTTATAACATATTTTGCTAACTGTGTTTTAATACCATTGTTTTCCTTTGTAATCCTAGGGTTTCTTTAAGTAAATATATTAAGTTTTATTTTATTTTATAATTTTTTTAAAAATTTTTTTATGTTTTATTTATTTCTGAGAGAGACAGACAGCGTGAGCAGGGGAGGGTCAGAGAGAAAGGGAGACACAGAATCCAACACAGGCTCCAGGCTCTGAGCTGTCAGCACAGAGCCCGACGCGGGGCTCGAACCCACGAACTGTGAGATCATGACCTGAGCCGAAGTCGGACGCTTAACCGACTGAGCCACCTAGGTGCCCCTATTTTATTTTATTTTTTAAAGGATAATGTTTTTCTAATGTTTTTTTAAATAAATGTTTAAAAAAATTTTTTTTTTAGAGAGAGACAGAGAGTGTGTGCAAGCTGGAGAGGGGCAGAGAGAGAGGGAGACAGAGGATCCAAAGCTGACAGCACAGAGCCTGCTTCTGGCGCTTGAACTCACGAAGTTGGATGCTTCACCAACTGAGCCACCTAGCCATCCTTATTTTATTTTTTATATTTATTTATTTATTTATTTATTTATTTTGAGAGAGACAGAGACAGTAAGAGTGAGGGAGGGGCAGACAGAGAGGGAGACACACACACAGAGAGGGAGAGAGAGAGAGAGAGAATCCCAACCAGCTGCCTGTCCAGAGCCTGATGTAGGACTCAAAACTCCTGAACCTCAAGATCATGACCTGAGCCGAAACCAAGAGTGAGATGCTCAACCAACCGAGCCACCCAGGTCCCCCAAATAAATAAATTAAATTTTAAAATGCTATTCTGAGAAGCGATCCATAGCCTTCACTTGACTACTGGTGGGGTCCTAGCAAAAATCAAGTTCAAAATTCCTGTCCTACAAATCTTTGTTATAGAAGAATTCCAAATAAATTCATAGTACCGCTCAGGGAGAGGCAGTTCCTCGCCCCTTGAGTGCTCACTGGGAAGCAAAAGGAGTGCCTCCACAGTTGAGAAATCTTCAGACACCTCCTTAACCCAGTGACCAAGGTCAATGTGACCAGTGACAAGTCATGTCGATGGCGTGCATCTGTGATAGGATGTGGTGAGAAGGGCAGCCCACCTCTTGACATTCTTCCCCCTCAAATCCAAACCCAGATCTAGCCATTAGCAAACATCAGACAGCCCAGATTCAGGGACATTCTCCAAAATATCTGATCAGCACCCTTCAAAAGTGTCAAGATCATGGGAACAATAAAAACCAGAGAGCAGCCACAGACTAGAGGAGTCTGAGACAGACTAAATGCAACACACCCTTTCAGCTGCTTCCACTGCCGAGGTGGAGAAAAGTACAAGATGGTTCTGGAACATCTCGTGCCAGCAAGCAACAAGTTCTTCAGAAACCTTGGGGTCACGTAGAAAAGATACAGAAGCCAGCTTGAATGGGTTTTTCACTGAGTGTGGGGACAAGGAACAATTTGAGAGTGAAGATAAATAATGAGAGTAATAATTTGCTGGGGAAAAAAATAGAAAACCATTAGCTTACATTGATACAAATAAAGAAGAACACAACTGAAAGTTGGATGAGGAATGGGATATGCACAAATTTAAACACCCCCCTACTTACTAAGCCCTCAGTTAACGATATTTACTACAACAATGGACAAATGCTTATAAACTACAGAGGGAAATGAGAGACTTTACAGTGGAGAGGCTTGGCAGACATCACCTTAATTAAATGATCAGAGTGGACATTGTCAGGTGCAGGGGTGGGGACAGGAGGGACATGGAAATTGAGTGCTACCTTCCAGGGAGCAGTGAGAAAAAACTACCTATTACCACCTCTCTGCTATCCCTATCAGAGAGGCATTGTCTGACTTTAATTGTGAGAAAATTTCAAGCAAACCAAAATCAAGGGACATCTTACAAAAGAAATGGCCTGTGCCCTTCAAAAATATCAAGGTCCTGATACACAATAAAGGACAGGTCTCCCGGATTGAAAAGGACTAGGGTCAGGAAACTAAATGAAATGTGTACACACAACCATGATTTTCCTTTCTCTTAAAGCTCATCAGTGAAACAACTGGAGAAATTTGAATAAGGGTCTTGGATTAAATAACGGTGTTGTATTAATGTTAATTTCTTGATTTTGACTGTGATTGTGCTTAGGTAAGGGAGGAAATGACCTTGATGGTACGAAACGGTAAAATATTTGCGAGTATTGGGACATCAGGTCAGAAACAAATGTTTCAGTAAAAATAAAGTTCTTTGCACCTGTACTCACAACTTTTATGTAAGTTCATGATTATGACCGGGAGAAGCTGAGGCTACTTTTTTGTGG